AAAAGAAAAACCAAAAGAAAACGGAGAAAAAAAAAACGGCAAAGACGATGAAAATAAAGATGAAAAAGAAAGCGACAAACAAAAAGAAGAAAAAGAAGAACAAGACGAAGAAGAAGAAGAAGAAGAAGAGGAGACAGCAACAGCAGGTTAGAGCTCCTATGAAGCCTGAAACATATATTAAATATCATTCATACACAAACAGCAGCAGCTTCACCAGACGCAGCAACAGACATTCTCAGCTGCGCGCACTGCAAACACGCAGAGAGGATAACAGCCATGGCCACGGCGGTGCCGAGGCTGCTGCTGCAAGCCAGAGAGAAAAACCCTCACTTCTGCTCCTACTTCGTCTACCTGCAGCTTCGTCGTTGGCTCGTTAGACTGCGAGACAAAGCGGTATGTCGACATCACTGCATGCATGCATGCATGCTTGCATACATGCATGCATGCACCATGCATGCGCGCACACACCATGCATGCATGCATGCATGCACTATGCATGCATATTGTATAACATACTCTAACGCATTCACGTATATATATATACTGCAGCTNATGCATGCACTATGCATGCATATTGTATAACATACTCTAACGCATTCACGTATATATATATACTGCAGCTACTGGAAACGCACGACTGCCCCTTCAACCGGCAGAGCTTCATCGAGGCGATCCCAGTGCTGCACAAAGCTCTGCATGAGCTGGAGAAGGGCATCTACATGCTGGGGACTTACTACGGCAAGCCGTACCAAGCGAGGCTATTCAGCAACAGCGCTGCTGCTGCTGCACCCCCCGCGCCTCTGTATCCTCCTCTACCTGAAACGCGGCATTCTCTACCGCAGCAGCAAACGACGACGGAAACAACAACAGCAGCAACAACCTCAACACACTCACCAGCGTCAACAAAATACGCAAGAATAGGCATAAACCCCCTCGCTGCAGTGATGAGGTTTCATGGGGGGCTGCTGAGAGAATCAAAGAGAGCCATGGGCCCCTCCTCTGCAGACAGCGAAGACTCAGACAGCTTCTGCTGCGGCAGTGTCGTCGATGAAACAGAATTCGAAGGCGCAGCGCGCGTCACTGTCCGGCTGGAGAACACCGGAAACACACAGCAGCAGCTGCAGCAGCTGCTGCAGCAGCAGCTTAAAACTTATGTTATAGAAGACCTACAACTCTGACGCTCACTCTCAACAGCTCACAACGCCGTCAACGGCTGCAAGCAGTCGCAACGGTGCACATAGCTACGCCGGCAGCACCAGCACCAGCAGCAGCAGCAGCAGCAACAGTAGCAGCAGCACATGCAGCAGAAAATGCAGCAGCAGCAGCAACAAAGTTTTTTCCTGTGCGCTTCAGCTCATGTTAAGTGTTTAAATTTAATTTATCGCAAATTTTAAACAATAATTTTAATTTTGGGTTATTTACTTCTCGTCGTTTCCACCTCAAAGGATAAAATAAAGTCCCCTAAACTAAACTATATTAAACTAAACTAAATTAAACTATATTAAGTTAAACTAAATTAAATTAAATTAATTTAAATTAAATTAAATTAAACTACATTAAGTTGAATTAAACTAAATTAAACTAAATTAAATCAATTTAAATTAAACTAAATTAAATTAAACTATATTATGTTGAATTAAACTAAACTAAAATTAAATTAAATTAAATTAATTTGATAGCTTTGATTAACTTGGGGAGTCCTGCAGCGTTAAACTCGTCGATAATAAAAACAAGCGAAATGCGATGGATGAGGCAGAGCGTAGCCTCCACTGTTGGCGCAACAGAGAAATCTCTGGCTGTCGCTGCTGCAGCACTTGCTGCAGCACTTGCTGCAGCTGCTGTGGTTGCTGCTGGGGTCGTTGCTACGGTTGGTGCTGTTGCTGTCTCTGGTGCAGAAGCAGCAGCAGCTGTTGCTGCTGCAGCAACGGCTGCAGCAGCAGCAGAAGCTGCTGCTGCTACTGCTGCAGCAAGAAGGCCAGTAACAGGAGGATCTCCGACGCCTCATCACCTCGCCTCGTATTGCATCACTGCAACAGCAAACACAAAACAGAGAAAAAGACAGAGTTATATATATAGTAATATATTTATTTATATTTATTTATATTTACTTATATTTACTTGTATTTATTTATATTTATTTATATATATTTATAAATATATCAATTTATATCTAAATAGTTTATTAATTTAATTATATTTGCTTACTTTTTCTCGATCGTTTTTTATATAAAATTCTGCTGCCGCAGCTTCTGCAGCGGACGGCTGCGGTTGGCTGTAGGGTGACATCACACCCGCACTCTGTACACCAGAAAAAAAAAAAAAAAAAAAAAAAAAAAAAAAAAAAAAAAAAAAAAAAAAAAAAAAAAAAAAAATTAAAATATTATATTAAACTATTTATAAAATTATATTAATTAAAAAAATAAATTTAAATATATTTAACATAAAAACACACACAACATCGACTCGCTTTCATACTGTTGACGCACCGCCGCAGATGTATGTCACAGGCTCAAGCTGCGGGTTGTTATCTTCAATATCCATTGCTGCTGCTGCTGCTGCTGCTGCTGTTGCTGCTGCTGCTGCTGCTGCTGCTGTTGCTGCTGCTGCTGTCGTTGCTGTTGCTGCTGATGTTGCTGCTGATGTTGCTGCTGTTGTTGTTGCTGCTGTTGTTGTTGCTGCTGTTGCTGTATCTGCTGCTCTTGCTGCTGCTATCGATGCTGCTGTCGGTAGCTGTTGCTGCTTCTGTTGTTGTTGCTGCTGCTGCTGCCTCTGCTGCTGTTTCTTGATCTGTTTCTTACTCTGTTTATTTACATAGACCTTTGTAAGAACATAAAATTTGTTTGCTGCTGCTGCTGTTGCTGCTGCTGCTGCTGCTGCTGCTGCTGCTCTCCTTCTATGGGACCCTTCATGGGGCTGCGGCGGGCCCTGCTCTTTGCATGCGTTTCGTTTTTGTTCGATTACTATTAGTTGTTAATAATTAAAAATTAATTAAATTTATTTATATAAACTTTTTTAATTCATTTATATACAGAAGACGGACAGAAAAGCTGCTGCTGCAGTGGGTGTCGTTGGCTGCGGGCGGAGGGCCCCCGGGGGCCCCCTAAGCTCGCCGTTGCAGCTTCTTCTGGCTGTTCTTCTCCTTTTTTTATAATTAAGTATTTAAATACAGCTATAGATATGTATACAACAGGAAAGGCGGCTGCAGCAGCAGCAGCAGCAGCAGCGGCGGGTGTGCGGAAGCCTTCTCTGCGTCAGCTGCACACCCGTAGACTTGCTGCTGTGCCTGCTTGTTCTGCTGCTCTCACGAGACGTGCTGCTGCTGCTGCTGCTGCTGCTCCAA